AGGCAGGTGGGGAGGTGAGGGTGGGGAGGTTGTGGTGGGGGAGGTTGTGGTGGAGGAGGTTGTGGTGGTGGAGGGTGGTGTTGGAGGGTTGTGGTGGGGAGGTAGGGTGGGGAGGTGGTAGGGAGGCAGTGGGGTGGGGGAGGTTGTGGTGGGGAGGTGTGGTGGGGAGGCTGTGGTGGGGAGGCTGTGGTGGGAGGTTGTGGTGGGGAGGTTGTGGTGGAGGAGGCTGTGGTGGGGAGGCAGGTGGGGAGGCTGTGTGGGGAGGTTGTGGTGGGGGGAGGTTGTGGTGGGGAGGTTGTGTGGGGAGGTAGTGGTGGGGGAGGTTGTGGTGGGGAGGTAGTGGTGGGGAGGGTGGTGGGAGGTAGTGGTGGGGGGTTGTGGTGGGGAGGTTGTGGTGGGGGAGGTTAGGTGGTGGATGGTAGTGGTGGGAGAGGTTGTGTGGGGAGAGTGGTGGGGAGGTTGTGGTGGTGATGCAGTGGTGGAGAGGCAGTGGTGGTGGAGGTAGTGGTGGTGGAGGTAGGAGAGGTGGTGATAGGGTGCTGGAGGTAGTAGAGAGGTAGTGGTGAGAGGCAGTGGTTGGAGGTAGTGGTGGGGAGATAGGTGGTGGAGAGGTAGTGGTGGGAGGTAGTGGTGGTGGAGGTAGTGGTGGAGGAGGTAGTGGTGGTGGAGGTAGTGGTGGAGGTAGGTGGAGAGGTAGTGGTGGTGGAGGTAGTGGTAGGAGGTAGGTGGTGGAGTGTAGTGGTGGTGATAGTAGTGATGAGGGAGATTGTGGTGGTGGAGATAGTGGTAGTTGTGGTGTTGGAGGCAGTGGTAGTAGTGGTGGAGATAGTAGTAGTGTGTTGGTGGTGGTAGAGATAGTGGTAGTAGTGGTGGTGGTGGGGGATAGTGGTGGTGGTGGTAGATAGTGGTGGTGGTGGGAGATAGTGGTAGTAGTGGTGGTGGTGGGGGAGATATAGTAGTGGTAAGATGGTGGAGATAGTAGTAGTGGTGGTGGTGGGGAGATAGTAGTGATGGAGTTAGTAGTAGTGGTGGTGGAGATAGTGGTAGTAGTGGTGGTGGTGGGAGATAGTAGTAGTAGTGGTGTTGGAGATAGTGGCAGTAATGGTGGTGGAGTAGTGGTAGTAGTAGTGGTGGTGGAGAATAGTGGTAGTAGTGTGGTGTGTGATAGTGGTAGTAGTGGTGGTGGAGATAGTGGTAGTAGTGGTGGTGGTAGTGAGATACTGGTAGTAGTGGTGGTGGTGGAGATAGTGGTAGTGGTGGTGGAGATAGTGGTAGTAGTAGTGGTGGTGGTGGAGACAGTGGTAGTAGTAGTAATAGTAGTAGTGGTGGTGAGATACTGGTAGTAGTGGTGGTGGTGGAGATAGTGGTAGTAGTGGTGGTGGGAGATAGTGGTAGTAGTAGTGGTGGTGAATAGTGGTAGTAGTAATGGTGGTGGAGATAGTGGTAGTAGTGGTGGTGGAGATAGTGGTGTAGTGGTGGTGGAGATAGTGGTAGTAGTGGTGGTGAGATAGTGGCAGTAGTGGTGGTGAGATAGTGGTAGTAGGTGAGATAGTAGTAGTGGTGGTGGTAGTGGGAGATACTGGTAGTAGTGGTGGTGGTGAGATAGTGGTAGTAGTCGTGGTGGGAGATAGTGTAGTAGTGTGGTGAGATAGTAGTAGTAGTGGTGGTGGGAGATAGTGGTAGTAGTAGTGGTGGTGGTGGTGAGACACTGGTAGTAGTGGCAGGAGATAGTGGTAGTAGTAGTGGTGGTGGTGGTGGAGATACTGTAGTAGTGGTGGTGGTGTGAGATAGTGGGTAGTGGTGGGTGGTGAGATATTGGCAGTAGTGGCGGTGGTGAGATATCAGTAGTGTGTGTGTGAGACACTGGTAATAGTGGTGGTGGGAGATAGTGCAGTAGTGGTGGTGGTGGTGAGATATTGGCAGTAGTGGTGGTGGAGATACTGGTAGTAGTGGTGGTGGAGACAGTGGTAGTAGTGGTGGTGGGAGATAGGTAGTAGTGGTGAGATATAGTAGGTGGTGGAGATAGTGGTAGCAGGTGGTGGGAGATAGTGGTAGTAGTGGTGGTGGAGATAGTGGTAGTAGTGGTGGTGGTGAGACAGTGGTAGTAGTAATGGTGGTGGAGATAGTAGTAGGTAGGAGACACTGTAGTAGTGGTGGTGGAGATAGTAGTAGTAGTAGTGTGGTGGTGAGATATTGGTAGTAGTGGTGGTGGTAGGAGATAGTGGTAGTAGTAGTATAGTAGTAGTGGTGAGGAGATAGTGGTAGTAGTAGTAGTGTTGGAGATAGTAGTAGTAGTATATAGTGTGGGTGGAGATAGTGGTAGTAGTAGTAGTGTTGGTGGAGATAGTAGTAGTAGTAGTGGTGGTAGTGGTGGTGAGATAGTGGTAGTAGTAGTAGTGTTGGGTGAGATAGTGGTAGTAGTGGTGGTGGTGGAGATTTTGTTGGTAGTAGTGGTGGTGGAGATAGTGGTAGTAGTAGTAGTAGTAGTAGTGGTGGTGGTGGAGATTTTGTTGGTAGTAGTGGTGGTGGAGATAGTGGTAGTAGTAGTAGTAGTGGTGGTGGTGGTATGCAAAGCCGAAAAGTAAGTTTTAGGTTCTGGAAGGCAATTTTAATGGGGTTCCTGAAGGCAATTTTAAGGGTTATGGAGGAGGCAATTTTAAGGGGTTATGGAAGGGTCAATTTTAAGGGTTCTGGAAGGCAATTGTAAGGGTTTTGGAAGGGTAAATTATAAGGGTTCTGGAAGAGACAATTTAAGGGTTGGAAGGGCAATTTTAAGGGTTCTGAAAGGGTAAATTTTAAGGGGTTCTGGAAGGGTCAATTTTAAGGGGTTCTGGAAGGGTCAATTTTAAGGGGTTCTGAAGGGCAATATTAAGGGGTTCTGAAGGCAATATTAAGGGATTCTGAAAGGGGTAATTTTAGGGGGAAGTAAACATGTTATATCCGGTTTGTATTGATCAGAGAGAGAGAGAGAGAGAGAGATTAACAGACGAGTGACCAACTTTCTATTAAGTACCGTCACCAGAAAACTTCAGGTTTTGTGTGTGTGTGTGTGTGTGTGTGTGTGTGCAGTAAGGTCACACACACACACCTATCATTACTCCCTGATCTTGTTAACGGTGACACAAGCACTTACCTGTTGGTTTTCGAAATACCGTTGTAAGGTAGAGCGGACGATGGTATGTAGAGGTGTTGGTGATGAGGGGAGGAGGGAGGAGGGGGAGGGAGAGGAAGGGAGAAGACCTGGTAGTGAGAAGGGTAGAGGGGATGATGTGACCTTCCTGGTTGGCCTTCCGTCGGTCGGTGTGGTTGAATTTGATCCCGGTTGAATTAAGGTCAAGTTTGGTAGTCAATGTTTTTTCTTTATTTTTTCTTCGTTTGGGGGAAAAACTCTGTTAAATAATCTAGTTTTTTTTTCAAGTGTCAAAGAGAGTTTAAGATGTTATAGTCAGTGAGGTTGAGGAGTCGGTTCACCACTCACACTAACACCAGGTTACAGACTTGTACTCCTCTCTGTCTCCTCCTTAAAAGCGTCTATAATGATGATGGAATTTTCAAACGGTGATAAATTCCTCTGGTCAGCACTTCTCTCGCGTCCAGTGTGTGTCCGGTAGGGGAGAGTGGTGAGGGGGAGTAATAGTGACGTCACACCTATAATGTTTTATTGACCCGCAAAAAAGTGAAAAAAACTCTAATATATTTATTGTAATTTCTATTCGGTCTGACTCCGGTGTTGGATTATCTTTGGTTGTAATAAGTTTAACGCTCTCTCTCGTTTATGTGTGGCTGACAGTTCTTACTTAGTTTGATTTTTTCTGTTAAATGATGTAGTTAATAATTTCTAGCAAATATTAGTAGGAAAACATCCAGTGATGGTGACCAACACAGTGTACCCAAGCCCCAATATGATTATCTACCTTTTGTGAGTAATATAATTAATATCCGGCGATGGTTTACTATAGTTTCACCTCTAAAACATAGATAAAAAAAAAAAATGTGAGGGGAACTTTGTTATGTTCGTGAGTGTGTGAGGCGCCAGCCAGCATGCCCAGAGGGATATACAGTGTGACTTTCATGGTGCGAACACAACTGTATGGTGAACAAGTTAGTTAGGTTCCTCTATCTTGACGTAAGTGTGGGAGCCACAGGCCCCGCAAGTGTGGAGGGTGGCAGGTGTGTAGGTAAGGTGGTAAGAAGCGACACACCTGGGTAGGTGAGGTAATGAGTGGTGGGACAGGTGCGTCGTCCTGCCGCCGCCGCCGCAGAGTTGAGGTCCCCGTAGGCCACGCCGGCCCTCACCGGCGGCTCTCCCCTCACCGCTCTCACTCACTCCACTAGACTTATATTGTTTCTCCTGGCAGAATTTTTTGAGGATGAGTTATCGTTAAGGATTATTAGTTAAGTGAGGAGGCTGAGTGTGGCCCTGGTGGGGAGCCGAGTGCTGGCGTCCACAGCTGGTCGCCACCTCCTGACCGTCGCCGCCGCCGGCTCTCTTGCTAGCCCGTCCAGGGTGTCTTTCACGCCCACCGATTTTGTCGAGTATCGAATCCAGGTGACAACAGTTGGACTGTCAGACCTCCCGAACTGGAGTGTTGGTCGGGCGTGGAGGAGCCCGCGCGGAGGAAGTGACGAAACTGAGGCAAGACCCTGGTGTTGGGGCGAGGCTGACGAAGCGATCCCTGGGTGAGGCAGAAGGCCGGGCAGGTACGTACTGTCTCGTCAGGTGCCGGGGGGACACTGAGGCTCAAAGGCCGGGCGGGCCGCGCACACCACCCGCGTCCCAGCCCCGCCTCGGCCCGGGCTGCCCGCCCGCCCATCCAGGGCCCCACCCCCTCCTCCTGGCTTCCTTCCATCCTGCACACCCCCGGGACTTAAGGCCACCCTCTTGGCCACGCCCAGATTTTTTCAGATGAGCCAGGACCACCACAACCCCCAGCCACCTCACCCGCCCCTACCTGTGCCGGACACCCCTCCGCGCAGCCCTATAAGAGGTGGCCAACGACATGTCCCTGGCTAAACCCTTTACCTCCTGGCCCTCCTCCCCTCGCCAGCAGAGTGTGGCCCGCTGTGTGGCCGCCATGAGCCCACCCCGCCAGCACACCCCCACTTCAGCCTGTCCACCCTCCTCCTTAGCCACCTCCCTTACCCTGTAGCCACACCCTCCATCTTCGCCTGGCCATCTCTCTACCCCCACACACACCCTCCATCCCCTATCCCGACCTGGCCACTTCTTACCCAGAAGCCACATCCACCATTTCCACCTGAATGCATTCCTGAACCCAGCTCCACCACCCCGCCATGTCCCTTACCCGCGTTGGGCCACACAACCCTATTCTCGCCTAACCATCCCCACACCCAATCAGGTCATTCAACTCACATATGACCACATCCTCCACCCATCCCTACCAGGTCACACCCACCACCACAGCCTTACATCATCCACCTCCATGGTCACACCTCGATATCCACCCTTCTTCTGTTCCCTCCACCAGGCCACACCCTCCACCTGCCAAAACCTCCCCGGCCCACCTCCACCCGGTCACACTCTCCAACCAGGCCACACCTCCACCCGACCACACTCTCACCAGGCCACCCTCCACCCTCTCACCAGCACCCTCCATCCGACTCTACTTTTCACGCCACACCCTCCACTCCACCCCCTTCTTCTGGCCTATACCCTCCACGGCCACACCCTCCACCCGACCTCACTCTCCAACCAGGCCACACCCTTCACCCCCGCCACTCTCCAACAGGCCACCTCCACCGACCACTCTCCCAACAGGCCCCCTCCACCCGACCCTCTCCAACCAGGCCACCTCCACCCGACCACTCTCCCCCAGCCACCTCCACTCCCACACTCTCCAACCAGGCCTCACCCGACCACACTCTCCCCAGGCCACCCTCCACCCGACCTCACTCTCACCAGGCCCCCCTCCACCCGACCACACTCTCCAACCAGGCCACCTCACCGACCTCACTCTCCTCCAGGCCCCACCCCCCGCCCGGCCACCCCCTCAACCAGCCACACCCCTACACCAGGCCAAACCTCCAACCAGCCACACCCTCCACCTGACCAAAACCTCCACCCGACCCTCCCCAACCAGGCCCCACCCTCCACCCGGCCACACTCTCCACCCGGCCACACCCTCCACCCGGCCACACCCTCCACCTGGTACTGAGAAGATTAAAAGGTGAACATCATTAAGCGTGTCAGTAAGTCAAACTCCTAGTGGGTCACAGGCTCTCCTCACAGCGGGGGTCTGCACTGAGGCCATATTTGTTCATAACCTAACTTGATTTAACCTAACTTAACCTAACATAATTTAAACTTCTAATCTAACTTAAGCTAATCTAACCTGACGTAACCTAATCTAACAAAGCTAATCTAACCTGACGTAACCTAATCTAACTTAAGCTAATCTAACCTGACGTAACCTAATCTAACTTAACCTAATCTAACCTGACGTAACCTAATCTAACCTGACGTAACCTAATCTAACCTGACGTAACCTAATCTAACCTGACGCCTAATCTAGCAAGCTAATCTAACCCAACCTAATCTAACCCAACCTAATCTAACCTGCTAACCTAATCTAACCTGACGCAACACACTAACTTAACCTAATCTAACCTAACCTAGTCGTAACCTAACCTAAACTGACCTGACCAAATCAAACTTTAACTGAGCTAATACAAACTAAGCTGAACAGCCTAACCCAAAAATTAAACTTAATCAAACCAAACCTCAAGGTAACCTAACCTTATCTGACCTAAGTTAAATTAATCTAGCATGACATAACCTAACCTAACCTTATCTGACCTAAGTTAAATTAATCTAGCATGACATAACCTAACCTAATCTAAGTTATCCTTGCCTAATCATGGCCTGGCCTGGCTTAACCTGACCTGACCCAACCTAACCTCACCCAATCAAGCCTGATCAACTTTTTACTGCCTAACCTAATCCATCTTTACCTAACCTAATTAGATCTATCCACAATAAACTGTATACTGTATTCTATCCGCGAATATAATTCTAATATCACGTACGCTACCCTAACCTAACCTAACCCTAGCACACCCAACATTCCGAAGCTTATCCTTCTCGAACCTAACCTGACCTAACCTAACTTAACCAAATTAGCATAGCCTAATCCTAATCTGTCCATACCTAACCCAAGTAATCCTAACCTAACCTAATCGAAGCTTCACCTAACCAAAGTCCTAAACCTAACCTAATCCTAGCCTGAATGTTTCAACCTGTGGGTATATACTGTATGTGACGCCAAGCCCATGTGACGCCAGGCCGCGCGCCAGGCCCCTGTGCCAGGCCTGTGACGAAGGCCCATGTGACGCCAGGCCCATGTGACGCCAGGCCCATGTGACGCCAGGCCCATGTGACAGGCCCCTGTGACGCAGGCCCATGGACGCCAGGCCCATGTAACGCCAGGCCCATGTAACGCCAGGCCCCTGTGACGAAGGCCCACGTGGCGCCAGGCCCATGTGACGCCAGGCCCATGAGCGCCAGGCCCATGACGCCAGGCCCATGTGACGCCAGGCCCATGTGATGCCAGGCCCACGTGACGCCAGGCCCATGTGACGCCAGGCCCATGTGACGCCAGGCCCACGTGACGAAGGCCACTATAACGCCAGGCACAACATGTTTCACAGGCTGGAGGACTTACAGGGGCCATTTATATTTTACCTCTTATTCATAACCTGCATTTAAGAACCTTCAAAATAACCACTACTAAACAACCTGGACATAACATATACGACGACGATGTTTCCGAAGTGGACAAGTTACGTCACGACCCAGAACGTCCCAGCTTACAAGAGGATTTTGATGTTAAGCTGATGGTGAACAGAGAGACAGAGAGAGAGAGAGAGGGAGAGGGAGAGACAGAGACAGAGAGACAGAGACAGAGACAGAAGACAGAGACAGAGACGAGAGAGAGACGAGAGAGACAGAGGGCAGAGACAGAGAGAGAGAGACAGAGAGACAGAGAGAGACAGAGACTTTGTCTCCACTAGTCTCAAACTCAATCTTCATGAAACCAAAATAACATGACGTATTTTCACCTGACTCACCACAAGACAAAAATAAGGAACAGCACGGTCACCCCCCTCCTCCCTCTTCCCCCCTTCCACCTCTTCCTCACCCCTCTTCCTCTTTCCCCCTTCCTCTCTGTTCCCCCTCCCCTTCCTCCCTCTTCCCACCCCCCCTCCACCTTCCTCACCGACCTCCCTCTTCCTTACCCCCCCCTCCTCCTCACCTTCCCTCTTCCACACCCTTTCTCCTTTTCCTTACCCCTCCTCCCTGTTCCCCTCTTCCTCCTCTCTTCCCTCTTCATTACCCCTCCTCCCTTTCTCCCTCTTCCTTACCCCTCCCCTCTTCCTCACCGCTCCTCCCTCTTCCTCACCGCTCCTCCCTCTTTCCTTACCTCTCCTCCCTCTTCCACACCCCCTCCTCTCACTTCCTTACCCCTCCTCCATCTTCCCTACCTCCTCCCTTCCTCCCTCTCCTCACCCCTCCCCACTAGTTTGACGGAGGTGAACATATTGAACAAATGAAGACTCGCTTTGTTTGAACTGAAGGGAAGGGGTTTGAGGTGGGAGGTGTGACGGAGGAGGAGATGAGGGGGTGTGACTGGAGGAGGGAGAGGAGAAGCATGACTGGTGGGGTGGGTGGGGAGGCATGACTGGGTGGGGTGGGTGGGGGAGGATGACTGGGTGGGAGTGGAGGTGGGGAGGAGCATGACTGGGTGGGTGGGAGGAGCATGACTGGGTGGGGTGGGTGGGGAGGGAGCATAACTGGGTGGGGTGGAGGTGGGGAGAAGGGTGACTGGGTGGGGTGGAGTGACTGGGTTTTGGGGTGGAGGTGGGAGGCATGACTAGAGTGGGAGTGAAGGTGGGGAGAAGGGTGACTGGAGTGGGGTGGGAGAAGGATGACTGGGTTTTGGGGTGGAGGTGGGAGGAGCATGACAGGGGTGGGAGTAGAGGGTGGGAGGAGCATGACTGGAGTGGGGAGTGGAGGTGGGAGAAGGGTGACTGGAGTTTGGGGTGGAGGAGCATGACAGGGGTGGGAGTGAGGTGGGGAGGAGCATGACTGGGTGGGGCATGACTGGGGTGGGGTGGAGATGGGGAGAAGCATAACGGGAGTGGAGGTGGAGAGGAGCATGACTGTGGGTGGGGATTGAGGTGAGGAGTAGCATGACTGGAGTATGAACTAAGGAAGGGAGTGAAGGATCTTATACTGAAGCGGTCAATGAGTCCTCCATCAGTCCTGTATGTCCGGGGTGAAGGACTCGGGACAGTGTGGCATCGAGATTATTTGCTTCAAAACAGAGGCCACGTGGGGGTGGTGGTCAGTGCTGTGGTTTGTATGTATGCATGTACTCTCCCTCAGGTGTACATCTCCCTCGGGGGTAACATCTCCCGTGGTGCAACATCTTCCTCGGCTGCAACATCTCCCTCCGGGTGTTACATCTTCCTCGGCTGCAACATCTCCCTCGGGTGTTACATCTTCCTCGGCTGCAACATCTCCCTCGGGTGCAACGTCTCCCTCGGGTTCAACATCTCCCTCGGGTGCAGCATCTCCCTCAGGTTAAACATCTCCCTCGGATGCAACATCTCCCTCGGGTGCAGCATCTCCCTCGGGTGCAACGTCTCCCTCGGGTTCAACATCTCCCTCGGTGTGTACCATCTCCCTCCCGGGTGTAACATCTCCCTCAGGTGTAACATCTCCCTCCCAGGTGCAACATCTCTCGGGTTCAACATCTCCCTCGGTGCAACATCTCCCTCGGGTGCAACATCTCCCTCCAGGTGTAACATCTCCCTCCCGGGGTAACATCTCCCTCGGGTGTAGCATCTCTCCCTCGGGGTAACATCTCCCTCAGGTGCAACATCTCCCTCAGGTGCAACATCTCCTCGGGTGACATCTCCCTCCCGGGTGCTGTCTCCCTCCGGGTGCAACATCTCCCTCAGGTGTAACATCCCTCAGTGTAACATCTCCCTCCGGGTGCAACATCTCTCCCCTCGGGTGTAACATCTCCCTCGGGTGCAACATCTCCCTCCAGGTGCAACATCTCCCTCGGGTGCAACATCTCCCTCAGTGTAACATCTCCCTCCGGGTGCACATCTCCCTCGGGTGCAGCATCTCTCCGGGTCGCATCTCCCTCAGGTGCAACATCTCCCTCCGGGTGCAACATCTCCTCGGGTGCAACATCTCCCTCGGGTGCAACATCTCCCTCCCGGTGTAACATCTCCCTCGGGGTAACATCTCCCTCAGGTGCAACATCTCCCTCCCGGGTGTAGCATCTCCTCCAGGTGCAACATCTCCCTCCGGGTGCACATCTCCCTCGGGTGTAACATCTCCCCCAGGTGTAACGCTCCCCTCGGGTGTAACATCTCCCTCCCGGGCAACATCTCCCTCGGTGTAACATCTCCCTCAGGTGTAACATCTCCCTCCCGGGTGTGTATCTCCCTCGGGGTGAACATCTTCCCTCGGGTGCAGCACTCTCCCTCGGGTGTAACATCTCCCTCCCGGGTGCTCATCTCCTCGGGTGTAACATCTCCCTCCAGGTGTAACATCTCCCTCGGGTGTAACATCTCCCCTCCGAGTGTAACATCTCCCTCAGGTGTAACATCTCCCTCAGGTGTAACATCTCCCTCGGGTGCAACATCTCCCTCCAGGTGTGCTGCTCTCCCTCAGGTGTATCTCCCTCCAGGTGTAACATCTCCCTCGGGTGTAACATCTCCCTCCCGAATGTAGCATCTCCTGGGTGTAACATCTCCTCAGGTGCTGCTGTCTCCCTCCCGGGTGTAACATCTTCCCCTCAGGTGCAACATCTCCCTCAGGTGCTAGCATCTCCTCCGGGTGTAACATCTCCCTCGGAGTGTGCTGATCTCCCTCCGGGTGTAACATCTCCCTCAGGTGTAGCATCTCCCTCGGGTGCAGCATCTCTCCCGGGTGCAACATCTCCCTCGGGTACAACATCTCCTCGGGTTCTTATCTCCCTCAGGGTATCTCCCTCGGGGTAACATCTCCCTCGGGGAACATCTCCCTCAGGCTCATCTCCCTCCAGGTGCGCAACATCTCCTCGGGTGCAACATCTCCCTCAGGTGTAACATCTCCCTCGGGTGCAACATCTTCCTCAGGTGCAGCATCTCCCTCCCAGGTGCAACTATCTCCCTCGGGTGCAACATCTCCCTCAGGTGCAACACTCTCCCGGAGTGCAACATCTCCCTCGGGTGCAACATCTCCCTCAGGTGTAACATCTCCCTCAGGTGCAACATCTCCTCCGGGTGTAACATCTCCCTCCGGGTGTAACATCTCCCCTCCAGGTGTAACATCTCCCTCGGGTGCAGCATCTCCCTCGGGTGCAACATCTCTCAGGTTCAGCATCTCCCTCCGGGTCCAGCACCTCCCTCAGGTGCAACATCTCCCTCAGGTGCAACATCTCCCTCAGGTGCAACATCTCCCTCGGGTGCAAACATCTCCTCCCGGGGTAACATCTCCCTCGGGTGTAACATCTCCCTCCAGGTGTAACATCTCCCTCGGGTGCAACATCTCCCTCGGGTGCAACATCTCCCTCGGGTACCTTTATCCCTCGGGTGCAGCATCTCCCTCGGGTGCAACATCTCCCTCAGGTGCAACATCTCCTCGGGTGCAACATCTCCCTCAGGTGTAACATCTCCCTCAGGGGTAACATCTCCCTCGGTGCACATCTCCTCGGTGTAACATCTCCTCGGGTGCAACATCTCCCTCGGGTGCAACATCTCCCTCAGGTGTAACATCTTCCTCAGGTCTAACATCTCCCTCGGGTGCAACATCTCCCTCGGGCAACATCTCCTCCGGGTGCAACATCTCCCTCAGGTGTAACATCTCCTCGGGTGTAACATCTCCCTCGGGTGCACATCTCCTCAGTGTAACATCTCCCTCGGTTGTAACATCTCCCTCGGGTGCACATCTCCCTCAGGTGTAACATCTCCCTCGGGTGTAACATCTCCCTCGGTGCAACATCTCCCTCGGGTGTAACATCTCCTCGGGTGTAACATCTTCCTCCAGGTCTAACATCTCCTCGGGTGCAACATCCCCTCGGGTACCTATCTCCCTCGGGTGCAACATCCCCTCAGGTGCAACATCCCCTCGGGTGCAACATCTCCCTCAGGTGTAACATCTCCCTCCGGGTGCAACATCCCCTCCGGGTGCAACATCCCCTCGGTGTATATCTCCCTCGGGTGTAACATCTTCCTCAGGTCTAACATCTCCTCAGGTGCAACATCTCCCTCAGGTGCAACATCTCCCTCGGGTGCAACATCTCCCTCAGGTGCAACATCTCCCTCGGGTGCAACATCTCCTCGGTGCAACTATCTCCCTCGGGTGCAACATCTCCTCGGGTGTAACATCTCCCTCGGTATGCATCTCCTCCCGGGTGTAACATCTTCCTCAGGTCTAACATCTCCCTCGGGTGCAACATCTCCCTCGGTTGTAACATCTTCCTCCGGGTCTAACATCTCCCTCAGGTGCAACATCTCCTTGGGTGCAACATCTCCTCGGGTGCAACATCTCCCTCGGGTGCAACATCTCCTCAGGTGTAACATCTCCTCAGGTGTAACATCTCCCTCAGGTGCAACATCTCCTCCGGGTGCAACATCTCCCTCAGGTGCAACATCTCCCTCCGGTGTAACATCTCTCCCCTCGGGTGCAACATCTCCCTCAGGTGCAACATCTCCCTCAGGTAGCATCTCCCTCGGGTGTAACATCTCCCTCCGGGTGCAACATCTCCTCAGTTGTAACATCTCCTCGGTTGTAACATCTCCCTCGGGTGTAACATTCTTCCTCCCGGGTGTAACATCTCCTCGGGTGTAACTTATCTCCCTCAGGTGCAACATCTCCCTCAGGTGTAACATCTCCCTCCGGGTGCAACATCTCCCTCAGGTGTAACATCTCCCCTCCGGGTGTAACATCTCCCTCGGGTGCCATATCTCCCTCAGGTGCAACATCTCCTCAGGTGTAACCTCCCTCAGGTGTAACATCTCCCTCAGGTGTAACATCTCCCCTCCGGGTGTATCTCCCTCGGTACGCATCTCCCTCAGGTGCAACATCTCCCTCGGGTGCTCTCCCTCAGGTGTAACATCTCCCTCAGGTGTAACATCTCCCCCTCGGTGCTGCCCTTCCTCGGGTGCTCATCTCCCTCCAGGTGTAACATCTCCTCCGGGTAGCATCTTCCTCGGGTGCCTATCTCCCTCGGGTGTTCCCATCTCCTCGGTGTAACATCTCCTCAGGTGTAACATCTCCCTCGGTGTAACATCTCCCTCGAGTGTAACATCTCCCTCGGGTGCAACATCTCCCTCAGGTGTAACATCTCCCTCGGGTGTAACATCTCCTCCGTGTTGCCTCCTCCGGTGCAACATCTCCTCCCAGGTGCTAACATCTCCCTTGGGTGCAACATCTCCTTGGGTGCAACATCTCCTTGGGTCAACATCTCCCTCCCGGGTGTGCTGCTCTCCCTCGGTGCAACATCTCCCTCCGGTGCAACATCTCCCTCGGGTGCAACATCTCCTCGGGTGTAACATCTCCCTCGGGTGTAACATCTCCCTTGGGTGCAACATCTCCCTCGGGTGTAACATCTCCCTCGGTTGACATCTCCTCAGGTGTAACATCTCCTTGGGTGCAACATCTCCCTCGGTTGTAACATCTCCCTCAGTGCAACATCTCCCTCGGGTACCTATCTCCCTCAGGTGTAACATCTCCCTCGTTGTAACATCTTCCTTGGGTGCAACATCTCCCTCGGGTGTAACATCTCCCTCGGTTGTAACATCTCCCTTGGGTGTAACATCTCCCTCGGGTGTAACTCTCTCCTCAGGTGCTAACATCTCCCTCGGGTGCAACATCTCCCTCGGTGTAACATCTCCCTCCAGGTCTAACATCTCCTTGGGTGCAACATCTCCCTTGGTGCAACATCTCCCTCGGGTGCAACATCTCCCTCAGGTGTAACATCTCCTCGGGCATGGCTATCTCCCTCAGGTGTAACATCTTCCTCAGGTCTGCATCTCCCTCCCGGGTGCAACATCTTCCTCAGGTCTGCATCTCCCTTGGGTTATCTCCCTCGGGTGTAACATCTTCCTCAGTTCTAACATCTCCCTCGGGTGCAATATCTCCTCGGGTCCTAACATCTCCCTCCGGGTGTAACATCTCCCTCAGGTGCAACATCTCCCCTCCGGGTGCAACATCTCCCTCAGGTGTAACATCTCCCTCGGGTGTAACATCTCCCTCCGGTGCAACATCTCCCTCCCAGGTGTAACATCTTCCTCGGGTGTAACATCTCCCTCGGTTGTAACATCTCCCTCGGGTGTAACATCTTCCTCAGGTCCTAACATCTCCCTCGGATGCAACATCTCCCTCGGGTGCAACATCTCCCTCGGGTGTAACATCTCCCTCAGGGTGTAACATCTCCCTCGGTGCAACATCTCCCTCGGGTGTAACATCTCCGTCAACATCTCCCTCGGGTGCAACATCTCCCTCCGGGTGCAACATCTCCCTCAGTTGTAACATCTCCCTCGGGTGTAACATCTTCTCAGGTCTAACATCTCCCCTGCAACATCTCCCTTTGGGTGAACATCTCCTCGGTGCAACATCCTCGGTTGTAACATCTCGGTTGTAACATCTCCTCGGTTGTAACATTCCTCGGGTGTAACATCTCCCTTGGTGCAACACTCTCGGTGTACATCTCCCTTGGCAACACTTGCCTAACATTCCTAGCACATTCCCTCGTGTACATCTCGGTTGCAACACTTCGGTTGTACATCTCCCTTGGGGCAACATCTCCCTTGGGTAAAGACTTC